AAATATATATAATTTTTTTTAGAGAATATGTAATTATTGTATTTTATATTTAATTAAATAATTGACACAAAATTAGATACTTACAAAAATAATATTTTCAAAATTGCATGATTATTTTTAGCAAACTGCATGCGTTCATATAGTAATTATTTTTTAAAGTAATGATTATTTTTTTAGTCTGTTTTAACGGATTTTAATTTATTTGTTACAGAATCATCGTAGCGACATTGCAAATATAACTCCACTGTTGCGCATCGGGTCGGTGAGTGATAAATCAACATTTTTATTGAGGTAACGGATGTATGTACTAATTTTATTAATATATTACGTACATACTTGAATACATATATGCATAGATTTGATAACGATATATGGTCACATATATGTATAGCATTGCACATACATCCGTTTCTTTAAAATGAACAAATTAAAATTGATTGATATTGTGTTGTTATTTAGATAAATTTGGTTATGCCTGATTCTTTAGTGAATCTTATAGATCTAAATTTCTAAAAATTAGCGTTAAAAAATAGCGAAATTTTAGAAAACTAAACATGAAGGGGAAATTAAGCGAGATAATATGATTAAGTTTGAACTTATAACAAGAGCATTGATTACTTTATTCGCACAATTGTAAACTTACATACACTGCATGTTACTTAGAGCCTATGTATATTAAAACTAAATGATTAATATATACAGAATCATACAAAACAGATCCTCAGAGAACAAAATTTTGTCGGTGTGTAATTCTTTCCACACATCTCTCCTTTTCTTTTTTTCATGAATTATTGCGCCTTTAGCAGGCAGTTATATAAATAATGATAAATTCTTCAGTATTTTCTGTACACGTCTCGAGAACGACGGAAGTGTGCCAAAGATCGACAGTTTTCTGCATGCGATTCTCGACATCGAGAAAGACAAAGCAGCGGCGATGGAATTACAAGCTATCGCATAGACACTCTGTTGATAGTAATTCCGTTTCTGTTGGAAACGGTCTCATAATGTCCGGATTTGCCGTACATTCTTCTTGAATGGCCACCGTATTTGTTACGAATACATATCAATTTATATAACACGATATCAATCCTACTTATCTCTTATTTCATTTATTTAATCTTATTTATTTAATAATTACAAAATAAATTTAGCGCACAGAAAAAAATGTTACGCACAACTGAAAAAAAAAATTGCCACAACTGGAAATAATCATAATTTTCAATACATCTGGTTGTGATAACCGTAAGATAGATGCATTTTTCTTTATAGTCATAACCGTTAAAATATGCCAATCTTACAGTTATCGCATTTGTATTACAGTTCTTGTAACCAAAAAATGTATTGTGGGTGACTTTTGATCGTGGCCATTATTTTCCGTATGTATACATTGTACATCTTAATAAATTTTCGATTTACTATCTATAGTATATTTTAAAATAGTTTTAAGTAATTAACTCTTTGTGGACAGACGACTCCGTTTGGAGTTGGTCATTCTTTTATTTCATAAATTGCTTGCTGAATTTTATGAAGTTTGGCTTATAGGATAATTTGATAAAGCTCTATTTGAATTAAGGTTAAAATTAAAAAATTCAAAATAATGAATTTAATATAAAAAACGGAATTTCAAAAAAAGTAATTTGATTATTATTAAATTCTTAGAAAGTTTTTAATTCCGAAGTAACATCAAGTTTCCAATTTCGCCAAAGTGTAGTATAATATTAAAAAATAGGTATTGATTTCCAAACTGACTTTTAAACTCTGATTTTGAACATTGTGACATTAGAACCTCCTTTATGGAGATTACTGTCTTTTTAAAAATTTAATATTTTTAGGTTATATTCAAACTCAGAAATATTAAGAATCTTCTAAAATCAAGTTGTAAACAATAATCAGATTATTTTTTTGAAATTTAAATTTTAGAATTCTGAGATCCAGGATCGAATTCGGTATTTTCTTTGGAAAGTAAAGTCTTCATTAAGTTACTTTATTAGAAAGCTCCGATTCTCAAAGGATTAAAATTAGTTGATTTCATAAAGTTGTTATTTAACATCACAGATTCAAACATGAATGGGATAATTCGCATTTTACACTGCCACTGTAAAAAAATTACATGTAAAATTACAACAATTATAATAAATAATTTTAAGACTCATTATTAAATATGTATCTTTATATAGATATACCTAAAGTCACAACTTACAAATAACATTATTTTTTTCATAGCAATTAAACAATTCTAACATGACATTTAAAAATTTTGAAAATATGTAGAAGTCAAGCAAGAACAGGATTTCAACACAATAATGAAGTATACATTATGGTGTGCACCACTTCAGTACAGTGTAGCGTCTACACGCAACTGGTGCGGTGCGAGGCTATCCCAAACGAAAACGTCAAAGTGACTCTTAGAATTAGGAATGTGCGATTTGGAGATATATCGCAAGTGCCGCGATTCTTTTTTCTTGAATCGTAGTACGATATACAATTAGAGTTTTATCACGGTAGAATCGTGATTTTACCATGGTTTTACTCGTGGACTCGCGTGCGATATAAAATCGTATCTTTTAGCAATGAATGCATCTTTTGTACCCACGCCGAATCAATTTTAGTTTTATTTACAATTTTTAATAAAAAATAAAAGTTTTACTGATACTTTTATATGATATAATAAATGTAACAATTTTTATATATTTATATGTACATTGTTAGATATCAAAGAAGTAATAGCAACCCAATCTCTTGAGTTAAATAATTTCCTTATTTTTAACTTCTATATATGTGTCAAAATTAATCTATTTCTGTAATTAGTTTCAAAGTAAATGAAGTTCATCTTAACATATGCACTTAGTTAATAATAAACTAAGTTTGATACCAGTTTTGATACAAATTTAATACATTTTCGTGAGTTAAATTGATTAACTTCATTGTTTTAGTTAAAAAATGACATATTGAGTAGAAGTAATGGTGATCTACGGAAATGATTAAAAATAATTTAAACTATATGTAATTTGATATTATGAATTTAATAATGTACGAAATTACATACAATTGAAAAAATATTGTATAATATCGCGATGGCGTTCACTGCGATTTTTAAGGAAGATTGCATCGCGATGCACAATTTTTAAAATCGCACGTTTCTGTATACTTACTAATGCGTGGCAAAATTTTAAAGACTGGTATATCTCCATCATCTCTCCACCAGATTGTCTTAAACATTTGTTTAAGAAGAAAATTGGCCGCTTTGCGGCAAAATAAACTGCAGAACTGTCTCTGTCCGCTGTCTTCTTCGTCATGTGCAAGTTGAGGGTGAACAGTAGTCAGTCGTTCCGAACAGAGAACATATCCACATGTTCTTCTTCTCGCTCTTTCGTCTATTGCAACTTCCATATGGGTTTTGCTTATGAATCTTAACTATAAAAGCAATAAATAAGTTAATGAAAAAAAGAAATTGAAAAGTTAAATTTGTTTTATTTCATGATTTCGAGTTAACTTTTTTTTAAATTAAATTTAAAAAATGAGTTAAAAAGTTAACTTTTTTAACTAACAAAGGAAGACTCATATATATATTTCATGGATTTTGAGCTTTAGTATAATTATTCTGGGGCATCAAAAAAAAATAATCCCTGTAAAGCAGAATTTTAAATATACTATTAAATTACACTTCTACGTATTTTTCGAGAATTTTAGCTCGGGAAAAAAAGCTTGGGAAAATCCATAAATATCGGTATATTTTATATAAAATATCGTACAATAAATTCAGGGAAGTAGGAATCTACTGTAGACTAGTCTACGCTGTAGTTAGTGCGTTAATATAATAATAGATATTTAATTTCTATTGTCTCTTCTCGATTAAGATATTTACTTTCGTACGCGCTTCGACTTGATTTAAGTCATTCTCAATGAGATTTATAAATAAAATATAAAACTATCCTAAAATCTGTGCAATCCTGGTGCCAACCATCTACCTTAAATGCAATGCTTCCTTGTGTTCTATCATGATTAGTCAATCTGATAAAAAAATAGAAAGCTGCCACTAGATAGGCCATAAAACATTACGAATTTAGTAATAATGTCTATGGTAAGATTGTAAGATTGTATTACTGTAGACTCCTATTTCCCTGAATTTACAGTACATTGTTTTGTTAAATATTGAGGAGTCTGATTCTCTCTCTCTCTATTATATTTGATATATAAAATATGTCAACTTTTTATATAATTATATAGAATTATACATGAAACATTTTTTTCTCGGGAGGTGATGACGGATCGCTTTCAAACCTCTTATTCTTTGTTTAAACGTAAACAAAATACTATTTAAAATTATTTAAAATTAGAAAAATACATCTCTGACGGACACGAATGTATAAGCATATAATTCAAATATAGAATCCGAATAACGGCAATTAGTTAACCTGATGTTAACTCTTAAAAAATCAAGTTAAAAGTTAATAGTCATCGATAAAATATAACTAAGTAAAGTTAAAAAGTTAAAAGTTTAAAATGTAACTAAATGCAGTTAAATTAACTTTTTAACTTAACATTATCAAACCTTGCAGAAACAATATTTGTTAGTGCATTTACATTTTTCAGGAGCCAGTTAGGACGTATGTGCAATTTTACAAGTTCCTCGAATGCGAAAAGAGTGTGCCGCTTGCAAAGTTTTTTTTTTTTATTCAGGTTCGTCTGTTCGATAGTATATTCACGAGAATAGCGACAACGCCATGGTGACCGAAGCTTAACACAAGTTCTGATTTGTCGCGTGCTCGGTGGCAGACACTCGCACTCGTGCCTGTGAAAGAAAACTTTTGATTACGTCTGTTCACAATCGCGCAGGTTAATGGCGCGCAAATGTGGCAACGTCGCACTATCAATAATATAAAAGTCTATTTAAATAGGTTATCATAAATAGGAAAAATCCCTTGCAAAATGCATAGGGTACAATGTCAAATCGATTGTAACCTCACCATAACTTCCGTGTAACCTTCTATCTACCATCATACGAATCCTGAACACCCTGAACTGAACGTGATATATGCAAGAAGTGCGATGTTGCCACAGGGTTTACTGATCGCCCCGTTCATTCGCTTCCGTATGTCGAATAAAATCGAAAATTGCATTTTTTTCATGATTCTATTTTTCAAACTAAATGGTCTAAAATTATGGAATTTTTTTACAATATGCGTTTTAAGTTCCTCTATCACATATTCATTTTTTGTCTCATTACTAATTTAGGCCCTACAAAAATTACCGCGACATTTTCATGAATTTTGTAGAGGCCACATGTATAAAATGTGCAGTTTTTAATTGGTTATCTCAATATTGAAATGATAAATCTCAATTATAATTGCACAAGCGTGTCAACGTCGTTTAGTACAATATATTATTTTAAATTCAAGTAATTCTAAGTACGTTTGGCAATGTAAATCTGAGATGTGAGCTAGCAGATAGCGAGTTTGATCACGTAATCTTCGAGCAATCCGAATGTCAAGAATTAATTCCAAACGCTACAAAGCTGCAAACTGTCCTTTATGGTTAGATTATAAAATAAAATTGTTTATTTTTACGAATAAATAAAAAATATCCTATTAATTGACAATTTTTTTCGCTTTAATAGAAACTGATAATAGTCTTATATACTAAAAATAGATTGTTACACGTGAATGCAGACACATACGTAAGGTGTGTTTTCTTAAAAGTAATGATCTATTGTATTTTTAGTACAGCGAAAGAAATTAATGATGCGGCTTGTAACAAAATTAAATGTTTTGTTACTAACGCATTTAATTTTTACACTAGAGGTGAAAATAAAATTCTTTTCGATATATTTATATTTTCGATTCTCAGAACAAAACCTTAATCATTTATTTTTATTGGGCGTGAAACAAAACGTACAGCGTTTGCTTCTGGTTTTGTAACTGGGTTGAAACTTCTCGAGTTTTGTCTTGCGTGCCCTGAATTCATCCATTTTTGATACCAACAAGAGGACTTACCTAAAATGATGATCTTCCGGTGGGCACAGCGCACAGGGGACGCCCTGAGGACCAGTGTTCTTTGAACATTGTTCTAAGAACATACTCGTGGCGTATTCCTCATAAGACATTTTATTATAATACAATATGTGTTCCTCAATCATTCGTCTCCTGGTTCTTAACATTATCGCAGTGTTATTCGTTTATGTATTCACGACGATATACCAGATAATACGTGATAAAGTAATTCGCAATTATGAGTTCCTTAAAATAAATTACAAAATAACTTTTCTATTTCGCGTACTGTTACAAACGAGACCACGTGGAGTAATGAGGAGACCAAATTCAAGGTTCATGAAATGTCTTGAAATACGATATAAGAAAACCTATGCAAAATTCATGAATCACAGATGTGATTTTGTTACCACCTCGCACCTTGCGGGAAAAGTTGGAAGTACTGACTACAAGTGATCACAGGTATATACAAGTGATAACATGTATGTATTTACTACATACATACTACTACATACATACATACATACATACGTGTGACCTATATGACCACGTAATAGTCAACTTTATAATAGCCCACAAGGCGTGATAGCACTAAAATTATCTGCCGGATTTCCCGGCAAGAGTTTTCGAGCATCTGTTCTTTCGTTGTTTCGAGCGCACTTTCAGACCTTGAGTTTGATCTCCTTATATACTCCTTATATACTCCGTGTATCTCCGTGTAACCCCGAAACGCGCCATAATATGTAAGGTATTAAAAAGGTTCGATAACTGTTTTTTGACCGAACTTTATTCAACGATGATACAAGCAAGCTTATATGGACTAAGTCGGAGATGTGTTACTAGCAGCTTACGAGAATAGATTAATTCGATCAGAACTAGAGGGATCTTCACTACAATAAAAGAGGTCGAGATTTCGATAAATTTTAACCAATAACGTGAGATTTTCTAATATCAAAAATATGGGTGATGGAGATGAAAGAAACTAAGATATGTGAGTGTCAACGACTCACGATCACTCCGATTAAGGGTGAATCATAAGATAAAGGGTGTCCCAAAATTAACGCAAGATTTGAATTAAATAGAAAACACAGTTTTTAGTCTTTTGATTGTTATTTTTTTATTGAATCATAAAGTACATAGGATAGGGTTATTTGTGGAATAACACATCGGACAAATGGCCTCCACGGTTTGCATGCACATGCGCACTCGTTTGTCGAAATTTTCCATGACCATTTTGCATAAATGTGGCTGAATTTCGTTGATACAGCGTTGAATCTCCTCCTTTAATGCACGGGTGGTTGTGGGCTTGTTGACATAGACCTGTGATTTCAAATAACCCCATAAAAAGAAATCTAATGGTGTTAAATCACACGATCTAGGGGGCCAATTCTGAGGCCATCAAGGTGAAAATGTGCTTCATCGCTTAGGATGATTTTGCTCGAAAAATATTGTTCAATAATGAACGCACGTTGTTCTATTGTGTAACGCTCCATTTTCACTAACCCTAAACTGTCAGCTGTTAAATTGTTTTTTGTTTTGGGTTGCCAACACTTTACTGCACAAATGGCGGCAAATTCCAATCTTGCGTTAATTTTGGGACACTCTTTATCTGTAAAACTGAAAATTCAAGACGGATCTTAAGGATAGATAAAAAAAAAGATTAAAAAATAGGTGAAAGCAGATAAGTAGCAAAAAACAAGATTTACTAGGAATATTTAGAAAAAAAATGTGTAGCAAAATTTTATGTTAAAAACGTAACGTTAACAAAAGTGACACGTAATAGTACTTGTACTCAGTAGAGGTTATTGGAGCTTAACTTCTTAAAGTGCCTTTTATGGGCGTTAAACATTGTATAAAAAAATTAATAAATAATTAAAATAATCAGAACTCTTCGGGAAGCGGTAGAATATACATTCAGAACTGTATAAAAAGTACCATAAAACTAACAGAACTCTTTAAAACAGCGTTTCATCTTCGTTCTCGTAAAGATTATTTTTTAGGGAAAAAAGTTATTTAAAAATCAAAATAACAATGTTAAGCGTCAGAAGTATAGAACTATGTACATTTTTTTGAATTCTATAAGAAACTGTAGCTGGAATCTTCTTTAGATAAAGTTAAGGTGCATTCACATACAAGCGTCAAGCAGCGGAAGCAGCAACCGATTAACGAGGCGATTTTTTGCAGTTACGAAAAAATATTTTTTACACTATTCGTATCGCCTAGCTGATTAGTTGCCGTTTCCGCTGTTTGATGCTTGCATGTAAATGAACCTTTAGCGCTGTGTGAACCTGGCGTCTCATTTTAAATTTTTGATTTCTCGGCTTTTGGCCGAAACTATTTATTTATTCTATATAAAACTGTAGAACTAAATGTTATTTCATCGAGAATAAGAATAGAAGATATTATTGGGAGAAATTAATCAAGTATATATAGGAGGTATTTTACGTATTCGAATTTACGTATTTCGAGCTTGATATTTCCTGAGATTTTCTCTCTGAAGATATGATTTTATTTAACTCTGAAATAAAATTAAAAGTAGAATATATCGAAATAATTGATGCACTACTATTTTTGGATGCTATAATTGTCTATGTGAACTCGATATCGATCTCTTTTCGAGATGATTTTAATATTACAGTTCTTTCTTCTCAAAATTGTTAATATAGTCCTGCTTCAACGGACTGAATTTGAAGGATCTCCTATATCGTATCAATAATATGTATCTTTCACATTATTCCCTTATGACTCCCTCTAAGGATACCGGAGATCCGCATTGATGCAGGATACTGTAGATTGTAGTAAGATGTGCTGCGTCTTTAATCACTGATCCAAGTGGCGATACACAATGTAAAGTCCAAAGGAAGAAACGTTGACTGTTCGCGGACTAAATTCTTGCCCGAATCTCACGGTTGCGTGTTGGCGCCGGGATAGTCAGTATAAACTTAGAATGTAGACTTAGGGCCACTTTAAGTTTGCCATAATCGGCCGATTACAATAATAGGCGAATCTTATAGCATTTTCTCTTGACTGCACTATCGTCCATCAGTGCAACACTTAGACAATGTACCATATTTCCATGGTTGGGTGGTAAGAGAACTCATACCGTGTTTTCATGGCTACGATATAGTTCAAATTTTATACACGAAGTGGGATTTTGCTATACCGTCTCACATAGGGATGGTGAAGACTCAGTGTGACATTTTTATAAAATTTCAAAATATGTAGAAGTCAAGCGGGAACAGGATTCAACACAATAATGAAGTATACGTCATGGTGTGCACGACTTCAGTACAGTGTAGCGTCTGCACACAACTGATGCAGTGCGAGGCTATCCCTAGCGAAAACGCCAAAGTGACCCTTAGAATTAGGAATGTGCGATTTGGCGATATATCGCAAGTGCCGCGATTCTTTTTTCTTGAATCGTAGTACGATATACAATTAGAGTTTTATCACGGTGGAATCGTGATTCCACCATGGTTTTGCTCGTGGAATCGCGTGCGATATAAAATCGCATCAGCGATATAAAATCGTATCTGTTTTTAGCAATGAATGCATTTTTTGTGTCCACGCCGAATCAATTTTAATTTTATTTACATTTTTAATAAAAAATAAAAGTTTTACTGATACTTTTTATATAATATAATAAATGTAACAATTTTTATACGAGGTCTGTTCTAAAAGTATCGCGAATTTTGTGTTTTTTCAAAAATTATTTATTTATTCATGAATATCTATTTTGTCCCCTTCAAAGTAATCCCCATCAGATATTATACACTTGTGCCAACGTTTTTTCCAATC